TAAGATATTACATCTTTAAGGACATTCGTAGACTGATTCCCCACTGTTGGTTCAACCCCAAAACTTGTTTGTATTCAAAATTAATTATGACAATGCATATTTATATTGAAACAAACTATGATAAAAAGAATTATATTATATAACAAAGGGCAAGGTCACCAGAGTTCAACTATGTTGTTTATTTTAACACTTTTATTATATTTTATAAACCAAAATAGATATGTAATTCATTCTATAAGGTTGTAATAAAGAATTATCTTATCTTATCTTATAATTAACCTAAAACATAGAAGTGTGCATAAAGAGGCACAAAATTTTAGCGAGAAATGTGTTGGTGTTCAAAATATTAAAAAGATTGTTTACACAATCGAAGGTTTCCAAACAAACATCAGAAGAAAAAAAAAAGGGTGTGACAAATCCACACAGAGAGCTGATAAAGAAAGGTCACAAACAGTCATGACTACCTTGGACTTAATGTAAATAACCGTTCGCTATGACTGTGAATTGCAATTTGATTGTGACCTCCACTTTATCTTTCCTGGTAAACTATTTCTATCTGATTGAGCTTTCACCTTCAGCATGTTTGTACAGTCATGCTCTTCAATTGAGTTACTGTGAAATACTTTATTTTAGTTGGAATTAATTTTCGCTGCTTTTTGACAAGTGGAATGTCAAATATAGGGAAAAAGGTATATTCTCTGGATTTTATTTTCACTGAATCATTTCTTCAGCAAAAATAGCGAAAATTAATTCCAAGCGAAAATAAAGTATTTTACAGTATCCTTCAAAAACACCCCCAAGCTTGTCATTGGCAAATGTCGCAACCATGTATGTGTGAGATATGGGTCTCATGTGAACAAAGATGGCGACTTCAAATGTAGCGCAGACCAACGAGTACAAACTGAGACGTTACCAAGGTTTAACCGGGTCATTTCTCTGGTGAAATTGGAATCTAACGAACAAATCATTCACAGTACTTAGTGCAATGTTGCCCTTGGGTAAAAACTTCTACCGGTACTCTCGATTTTAAGTAGATTGTGGGAAAATCAATGTTTACCAACACAATGGTCACGCATGCACAATAACCTCTGCCCTTTAAGTCACATGCATCATTTACTTTTTGCAGACTGTCAAAGCATTTGCACCATCAATGATTGCCAAAAACCATGGACATATTGTCACCATCTCGAGTATGGCAGGGACTGGTGGGACAGCAGGAATGGTGGAATACTGTGCCAGTAAATTTGCGTCTGTTGGATTTCATGAAGCGTTATACTGTGAGTTTGTTAAAGAGGGATACGATGGTGTTCACATGACATTGGTTCTTCCATATAAGATTGACACTGGCATGTTTGATGGACTTGAATTGAGGTATGGTTGGTAATCGCAATTGATATGCAATCTATTTTTCAACAACATTTTCTAATCATGTTAATTTAACTGAGGCAAAGACTTAAATGCCTTAATGTATGACAAGAGAGATAAACACTTGTGTGTCCAAATGTAGGACCAGATTGAGTGTATACTCATATCTCCATATATGCTGAGATAAGTAAATACTCCCATACCAGGATGTATGCATTATATTATAAAATTCACACATTTCACATCAAATATATAATTGTTGTTTTCGAACCCCCTATTCAAAAGTGCTGGCTACGAGCCTGACTGCCATGGGTCACTTTGTGTTTGTGATAGAGTGCTGCCATGTATGTCCATATGTGTGCATTATCATACATTTAGTTCTAAAAAAATCATCAAAATCAAGCATTTTTCTCATTCTGAAACAAGATCTCCACTTGTATGGACTGATTTCATTCAAATGTAATACATAAATTTGACATTGACGAACTTTGGTGCATATCATGTTATTTTGCAGATCAGATTCAAAATGACTGACTAGTGGCCATTTTTTTATTTCATTTGAACCATGTCTCTGACATGTCTTGAAACATTTGATACATCATGGCACACATATGCATGTGCATTTGTTTCATGATCCAAAATTAAATATATCCATTAGTCATGTATATGATGGCTGCATGTTGTACTTCTTTTTTTCTTCTGTTTGACTTCCTACTTACTTAATATTGTTTGAAGATTTAAAGAGAGTACAACCATGCCGGTACATGTAGGGCTGCATTAGAACTGATGTTAACATTTACCTCCTCTTTAACAGTATTGTAATACAATATTACAATTTTCTCATACACTGCTAGGAGAGGGTTCTCGCCACCAGCACTGAGACCTGAGTATGTTGCCGACAAGGTACTGCACGCTGTTCAAACTAACCAGAAAATCTTAATCATGCCGAGAGATTTGTACATTGCTCCTTGGTTGAAATCGTAAGTTAAAAGCGTTTTTTTTATTCACAAAGTATTGCATTCACTTTTGAAAACAGCATGTATGATGACAATAAATTTAAAAATCATAAAAACAAACTTAGAACCTACAGATTACTGAAAAAGGATTACACCTATGAAAAATATCTAACAGTAGTTAAAAATGCCAACCATCGGCCAGCCCTAACAAAACTACGTATAAGTGCCCATACCTTACAGATAGAAATGGGGCGGTACAAAAATATTGACATTAGCCATAGAAAATGCAAAGTCTGTGATCTTGATGAAGTAGAAGACGAGAAACACTTTCTTCTAAAATGCAAACTACACCAAGAGGAGAGGATTAAACTGTTCACTGAACATAACATATCCTCAGCTGGTGTAGCTGAGGAAGAAATCATGATAAAAATTCTCACCTCTACTGACAACAAAGAAATCACTGACTATGCAAAATACATTTTTAACTGCTTTAACCGCAGAGATATTACACTGAAAAAACCACCAGCTGCCCCAAAATAATCACTCAATTTTACATTTCTTGTATTTTTTCTTTTACTTTTGTTCTGTTTTACTTATTGATGTAATTTTCTAATTGTTTACTCTATTTTGTTACTTTTTTAGCTAGCTGTTGTTTATTTAAACAACATTCTTTATTGTATTATTTTCAAGATCCCAATAAGGATACGAAATCAATAAAGTTATTACTTACATATTAGTTTGTGGATATGTCTGTATTATGTGCGAAATTAGGAGAAAAAAGACTACATGTGAACAGATTAGCAGGTGTTCTTAGCCCATACATTGTCACAATTAATACTTTTGGTAAATGGTGCAAAAGGTTGTGTTGAAGTGTTAATGGATAATCGTTTAGTAGCAAGGAATGCATTCCCGACCCATTATGGAAATAGTAAATATTGTAGTTTATAAATGACTCTATGAGGCTTCTTTGACAGAATATGCGCTAAACAATGCAGGAAAAGGACAAAGGGGACAGACTAAGAAATGTGACATATTGGTAATTACTTGTTAACAAGAATGTGGTTGTTGTTTTTTACAGGTGGTTGTCTGTTGATGCTGCCATTGTGTTAGCTGAATTATCAGGTGCATTGACAGCAATGGATACATTTGTTGGAAGGAAGAAGAAGGAAACGTAGATGAAGCAGAACAGATAGCACATTTGTAACAAGCATATATATTTATAAAATTCTATGTGATGTATCCATTATGTGAAATGTAGTTTTCTGTGAAAGAAAAATTCAAAAAACAATCTGTGCTGGAGAAATTCAAATGTGATAATCTGTAGGAGAAATTCAAATGTAGTAATCTGTGGAGTAGGAATTCAAGTGTGGAAAACTATGGAGAAGAAATTCAAATGTAGCAATCCGTGAAAGATTTAAATGTGGTAATCTGTGAAGAAGAAATTCAAATGTAGTGATCTATAGAGGAGAAATTCAAATGTAGCACTCTGTGGAGGTAGAATTCAAATATTATATTTTGTGGAGGAGAAATTTAAATATGATAATCTGTGAAGGAGAAATTCAAATGTAGTGATCTATGGAGGAAAAATTCGAATGTGGTAATCTATAGAGGAGAGATTCAAATGTAGCAATCTGCGGAGGTGGAATTCAAATATTGAAATCTATGGAGAAGAAATTCAAATGTGGTAGTCTGTGATTGAGAATTTCAAATGTAGCAATCTATGGAGGAGAAATTCATGTGTGGTCATCTGTGGAGGTGGAATTCAAGTATTGAAATCTATGGAGGAATCTGTGATGGAAAAATTCAAATGTGGTAAGCTGTGAGGAGGAATTCAAATGTAGCAATATGTGGAGCTGGAATTCAAATATTGAAATCTGTGGTGGAGACATTCAAATGTATCAATCTGTGGAGGTGGAATTCAAATATTGAAATCTATGAAAGAGAAGTTCAAATGTGGTAGTCTGTGATGGAGAAATTTAAATGTAGAAATCTATAGAGGAGAGATTCAAATGTAGCAATCTGCGGAGGTGGAATTCAAATATTGAAAACTATGGAGAAGAAATTCAAATATGGTAGTCTGTGATTGAGAATTTCAAATGTAGCAATCTATGGAGGGGAAATTCAAATGTGGTCATCTGTGGAGGTGGAATTCAAGTATTGAAATTTATGGAGGAATCTGTGATGGAAAAATTCAAATGTGGTAAGCTGTGAGGAGGAATTCAATTGTAGCAATATATGGAGCTGGAATTCAAATGTAGTAAACTGGTAGAAAAATTTAAAACAGCAATCTGTGGAGGAGAAATTCAAATGTGATATTCTGTAGGCGAAATTAAAATGCAGTAAACTGGAGGAGAAATTCAAATGTAGCAATCTGGACGAAAAAAATTAAAATGCAGCATTGTGTGGAGGAGAAATTCAAATGTGATAATCTGTGGAGAGGAAATTCAAATTTAGTAATCTGTGGAGGAAAAATTCAAATGTAGTAATCTGTAGGGAGCATTCAAATTTGGTAATATGTGGAAACGAAAATTATTCAAATTTAGTAATCTGTGGAGGAGAAATTCAAATTTAGGAATCTGTTGGGGTGAAATTTAGTATCAATTTGCTGTGAAATTCGATCGTGGGAATCTGTGCAGGAAGAATTTAAATATAGCAATCTGTAGAAATTAAAAGTGACGATCACTGGAGGGGGAACAAAATGTTGCAATCTATGAAGAAATTCAAAAGTTGCGATTTGTAATGATTGTAAACATTTTAAATATGTGGTAGTGGAATAAAAAGTTGGAATTTGTAAAGGAAAAACCTAAATTAGCGATCTGTGGAGGAGAAACAAAAAGGGAGTTTCTAGGGGAAGATTGAAACGTAGCGATTTTGAAAGAGAAATTCAAAAGTAGCAATTTGTGCAGAGGAAATAAAAAGTAGTGCTTTGTGTATTTGTATTCTAAAATAACGATCTGTTAATAAGAAAAAAAGTAGCAATATGCGGAAGAGATATTAAAATTTAGCAATCTTTCGAGGATATATTTTAGAAGTATCAATGTGTTGAGATGCTGAATTGTTCGAGTTATGAACATCGAGTTACGAAAACATCGAGTTATGAACATCGAGTTACGAAAACATCGAGTTACGAACATCGACTTACAGAAATGACCACGCCCATATTTTTGAAACCACGCCCACTTTTGTGGTTAACAGTTAACATAACTTCGAGTTACGGCAACGTAGATTGTTGTTATTGTTCATACATTCACATACCGTCTTTCATTTTTGACCACGCAATAAGCTTGGTTTTACAAAAGTGGGCGTGGTTTTTAAAAAAATATGGGCGTGGTCATTTCTGTAACCCGATGTCCGTAACTCGAACAATTCAGCATCTCCAATGTGTTGGAGGCAATCTAAAGTAGAGATCTGTTGAGAAGGAATCCCTCAAATATATATGTTAATTTATAAATATAGAAAACTGCTAATATGAACAAGCTAATTTCTCAAACAGTTGATAACAGTTAGACTTTTATAATTATCTATAATTATATTAATGCAATATACCTCACTAAAGGGCATGACAGCTTACGTAGACCGATGATTGATCACCAATTAAATTTGCAATTATAATTTAAATTTAATTTAGTACACGATCCGTTCCACCACCAGTTCTCCAATTTGTAGGTACGATTGAACATGGTAAAATCTAAAGTACAACATTGTTCATCAAGACTAGTCATAGGCCTACTGATATTGACACTGGAAGACTGCTATGCAAATTAAAACGGAACAGTTATTCTTACGTAATCCGAAGTTCTGAATATATAGAATAAAGTCGTAAAGAATAAACACGTTTAGAATAAAAATAGTCAACCTGTCGCCAACTGTAATGTAGTGTGCGGTGCTCAGTCGCAAAGTATCGATGATTAGCCAATAATATATGCTTATATTTAAAAATAATATTGTCATCGGAGACAGATGAACGAGTATATATAACTGCAGGAAAGTATATATTAGTGATTGATGAATACTTTAGATATCCTAACAGAGTGTGTGCCCTCAATATCAGGCTAATTCTGGTTAGTTTGTTTAACTTATATTTCCTCTTGAAATAAAATGCAGAAAAAGACGGACAGAACTCTATGTGCCATGTCGTAAACGTATCACCACAAAGCACACACGCATGTGCCGAATAAACAATGCGTAGGAAATTGGGGGATGCATTCGTTCCGACTGAAAAATAATTCGGTTATAGAATAACCACTACAAAGTTGGTAGATGTGTGCCGGGTATAACGCGTAAGCAGCGCCGTCAGCTGCTCGGAATTCGAAATTATAACATTACGAAAACAGTCAGTAGGTCAAGGCAACAACCTTTCATTACTTATTTTATCAGCCATCTTCTAAAATGACGTAGGCTGCTCTCACCAATCAGATCGTAATCTGCCCATGCTACGAGTAACCGCAGATCTAGGCACTGTATAATTCTGTTAAGGAGAGAATCGAACGGCCAACGAAGTAACAAGAAAGCATCCAAGTTAGATTAGAAGTGAAGACAAAAAACTTGTGCTGCTGAGGTCACGGATATATGTAATGAATGACGTAACCTATATTTACTCGAATGAGACAACTAATTGTTAGGATGTTGTTAAAATATCTGCCATGCATTTCCCAATGTAATAGGAGTCAATTTATTTTTATACAGATGTAGAAATTATGATATTGCACGCTTCTATCTTCGGGTCTGACAATGTGGTGTGTAAGACCCCGGGGGAAAGGTATATACTAATTACGTTTGGTCTCCAAACGTCGGTTCTTCACTGGACGGCAATTCTATTTCTGACATTTGAAGATATTATCAGTACAACGAAGCAATTAACGTCATAAACATATCAAAGATGCAATATGTGTCAATTATCTAACATATTGATGTCAAAAATCACTTTTATTTTGTATTGCCACTAGTCATACGAACGGGGTTGTCTAACAATATGTCATACGAACGAGGTTGTCTAACAATATGTTATACGAACGAGGTTGTCTAACAATATGTCGTACACAGACGCTAACTTCATTCAGGTATCATGCGTCCCAAGATCCCTGTGTCGGAAACCGCGAAGTTTTTTTTTTTTTCAGTATTACGAAGTATGCCAATGTCGCTCTTGCTAGGAAGCGTTCATCGTCGCCAGCCAAGACCATTTATTCGACCAAAGCCTCAACATTAACCGTGGGCCGGTTATGAATGGCCGGCTTTAGCGAAACTGTGCGATTCGGACGATGGGAAGCGTTTCAATTACTCGATAGCGTGTGGCGCTGTGAATCAAGGTTTAAATACTGATACACAAAAACTGACATGTTCCTAACTCGACGACAAACAATAATTTTTATCAATAAAATGATTTAAAATGAAAAACGTCAGCTATTTCCAGCTACGTTAGGGATTTGCGCTTTGAAAGACATTATTAAAAAATGTAATTTACTACTTAATTTAATGTGAGTCCGGGATATATATTATAGCTGTAAAATAACATCCGTGATGGGAATAACTAATGCATTTTACGGCTACGTTGTCATGGCAATTTGAGAGCACAATGTTCAACATAAATAAATTGAGACACTATACGCTTCGCATTGTTTATAATTCAAATTTGAATCAGATGAACGCACTCATAGCATAGTGGAAAGGTTTTATTTAATTATAAGCAAAAATATCAACAATCCAAATATTTATTATTATCGTACGTATCAGAAATCGAAAGTACTACATTAACAATGCATTCAGTGAATATATAATGAGATTACCTAAACATGCATACCACTTCTGTATTAATGTTTGGTGAAACAACACATCTTAATGAATGTGAAAGTAAAAAAATCAGCCATTTAATGCATTTAAATTTTACATCGAAAAAAAAAAAATATTGAACCGGAATGTGTTGACAATCATCCCGAGATTCTCGGGGCAATGACTGGTCGTGATTTATTCCATGTTTGTATGAAGTGTAGTTTTAGACTCAGATTTAGCGATCGCACATTGTTGATTAAGGTCACTCATCGTTGACGACACAGTCAGTCCTTCCCTGGTGCGTTTTCGTAAGTAATCGCCTCCTTTGGGGTCCTTTACTATCACCCGTATCTGTAATGTAATAGTATAACTCTCTTGCAATAAATAGACAAAGTATACAACATCGATATTTTTTGGCCTGAAGTAAGATATGAACTTACTTTTGGGATGAACATCATGACGATAGTTATAGAGGTACACAAAAATATCGGAAAACTTGTAAAGGCGAAACTGAGAGTCGGATTATTCTCCAATGCTAATGTCAGAGTGACTCCAACAAGACAGGAAACCATTATATTGTAAACTGACACGCCGATCTGTCTGTGGAAGGAACAGAGTTGAGTAATGGTTATACTATACAGATGCTGGCTATATACTTTTTGTATATGAAATTCTTGCACTGATTTCATATATAGCTACCTTGAGGCCGAGATAAAGCATTGCAATGCGCACGTCCTTAAGACCATGAATGTATCCAATCATTGGGAATACTGTTTCTGTTTTTACATTTGGAAAATATATCTTGACCGTGTCTGGGAAATCATCATTACGCCCATATGCGGCTCTAAATGAAATTATTTTATATTCCCTGTTAAAAAGTCAAACTAAGCATGTATGACAGCAGAAGGGTGCGATAATATAGTTCTATGCATATGGGTCTAATTGTGTTGTATCTCTTTCATTACATGTGCACGCGCGGATTTAGTGAGAGGCGCGCCACCCCCCCCCCCCCTCCCCATTCATCCCACAAAAAACGAAAAATCAATTGACAAACCCAGCCCACGTCAATAGGAGCGCCCCCTTACCGAATTTCAGGATCCGTCAGTGATGTATGCCAGCGTATACCGAGTTATTGACCTCTGTCGGTGCCACTAGTAATATATCTGTTTTGTCAGTTACCACGAATGTTTAGTTATTTTCAATCAAACATTATTATATACCTTTTTCGACTAGTGTGTTACTGTTTTATCAACCACTGCACAATACTTCTTATTATATTTATTTTATTTATTTATTTTTAGCATGATGTGTAATTTGTTTTGATAACCTAGACGTAAATTGAATGTGGAAATAACATTAAATAACATGTCCGTCATTGCCGGGCATCATTGTGACGCAGTAGAAACCTACCTTGAGTCATTGAGTCCTTCCACTTGTATATTACGTGTTTCATGAGCTAGGAAACACCCAAACAAAAGTAATAATCCCTTCAATCCATAGAGGGCGCCTAACCAGTACCACACGTACTGGGAGCTGCACGAATTCGTCTGGTAAAGTGTTTTCGTATTATCTTGTGCGATCTGGAAGAAAAATCACGATTTATTTCAATTGATGATAAATATATCTATTCCATGGACATTTACTGATTTTACGCGTAGCACGAAACCAAAGATGTATTTTGACGATTACTTCATGAAAACTTTCAAAATTGAGGCTCGCTATTTATCATTTGCTTTTTTATCCTTCCAAACTGTGTGATAGAATGTTTGTCATCTTGTGCATGTTTTTATTTATTATCGTAGTCTATAACTATAGTCTTCGACTGGTAAATTTCCTTTATTAATTAAAAATTCCGACTAAGTAGACTCACAATAAAAAGTCGATGTTTCAATATCACTGAGAGTTACTACGTCACAACTTACATTAATATGCAATTCTTTGCGAAACACGTGACATGGGTCAATGACCTGCCAGGATGTCAGCAAAACAATATCAAATATGGACAGTATACACACAAATAAGACTAGAAGAGAGTCCTGCATAGCCTGTGAGGTATGTTATAAAATGAATGGAAATTAGTATTACTGCTTGCGGGAATGAAACATTTTGCAACAAGTAATAAAACAAGTCAGATCCTCTATGTAAATATTTGTAGTTAAATCGTTATAATTCGATGTTAGTTACCGTTGTATTGGGTTTCATATTTGTGAATATCCTGTGAACACGCCAGGTCTTTGCAAACATGGAACCAAATGAAAGCGTGAATCCCACTGATAGCAGCCATTTACCAACCTATAGGAGAGAACACACAATAATGAGTTGATCAAATATTACAGAAAATCCATTAAATACATAGGCGAGTTTGGAACGTCATACATTGTTAAGACGAAGTTGCCATGGGTGGTTGAATATTTGTTAACTTGCAACCCCATTCGAGCCAATAAACGGCCGACATGTTCGATTCCAAGCGAGTCTATTGGGAGTCGCGGGAGTGTTCGTTGTATTTTCAGTGGATTTAACATATTAAACCTAGTTCATTACGGTTGTTTCAAATCTGGCCATTCAAAACATATCAACTCCGTTCAGTAGGATATGTATATATGATTTGCCAAGAGTACACAACGCTCTGTGGGGCAGAAATTTGATTGGACAGCAATAACTGTGATAACTGAGTGCTACTTACTATGCATGATATAGTCCTCATATACTCTGATAATTCAAACGGTGACTGTGTCATTCCTAGCGGCATGATTGACAGATATACAAGTATGGCGCCTGATAATATAATATTGTTCATTCGTGGTGACGATAATTTGATAAATCTGACAATAACAAGTAATATCATATAAATTATCATAAATCTTTAATTTCACCACTGGTATCTCAGCTTCGACGAATACTTACTTGGAACGACGCGATAATAAAATTAATATATTTCTGAAAGATATTGCACAAGCGGAAATACAAGTTGTTTGCCGTTGATCACATAAAATATATTGAAAAGCATCAAATGATATTGGATTAGATTAAATTGGAACTATGTTAATTACCCGTGATCGCGATAAATTATGTTAATTCCAAGAAACACGGCTGCCATGACGATACCCAGGCAGGCTAGAATAGATACAGTGATAGAGAGCGTTTCATTGATGCTGATCACCTCGTACGTCCATCTTTGTTCGTCTACTGGTGGTGCGTCACCTGAAATTAAATTGTAATTTCATGGTAACTATAGTTTATTCAGTGATTCATACGGCAACGTACAGACGGCAGACGAATATCGTATTCTGACAATTGATTTACCGGATTAGCGTTTTATGTATTTTGTGTGTGTAATAGCCTTACTCAGATACAATCATTTGATATGGTAAAAAGTCGTCAACACTCTGCCTTACCCGGCCATTCGAAGTCCCTTAACAAAATAAGTTGTTCATCGTGCGTAGATTCACCAATGTAAATTCTTGTTCCATCTAAAGATAATTAGATTATTAGAAACAATACTTTACTGCACTGGTACATTGCATATAATGTTACATCGCATGAATCCAGATTTATAATATCACATTATTATAATCAATATCAAACATACCCAGGATTTGATAGATTGCCATGCGTCCAATTCGATCGCCGTGCTCGTTAAACCAAACACGCCCCTATAGAAGAACATTTTGTTGAAATCGTTAATGGAGCGCAATAACATGTTTTACTTTGAAGTGATATGCATCCATTCACGTTTATACCATTGACAACACATTGGTATGTTAGCCATAATATACACTGGACTTTTCATTTTAAACAGAATGAAAGGCAAGAGACAATTCTTTCTTTTTGTTTTTGAATATTTAGTCATACAGTAATGTAGAATAAATCACTGTTTGTTTCACCTGGAGTTATTACCATCACAGTGAGATCATCCTTCATTTCAACGTCTATATAAATGCACCACTCGGAACATATTTTACATAGACCAATCACGAATGGCATCGAAACACTTCATGATAGCCCAGTCGAGATAACATTTGTTATGAATGTCGATTCGTAATATTTGTAAGAAACTCCTATCTCTTGATTGGATGCGACAGAATATTTGATATGGAAATTTGGAATATCACTTTTGGATTATGTGCATCGGACAGATATTTCGCGATTGTGGAAGAATTATAACTTACTGACGTTCCCTGAAATGATACGTTATAAAATGATTTTCTGAAAATTGAAGCCATGACAGAGTCTGTGTACGTGAAATCGTCTAGTCGCTTGCTTCTGACAGATCCATGTGAGTCATTTGTTCGCTGTGAAAGAGAGCGCACAATATAGTGTGTGATCGGGGTAGATAAGCTTATTTTTATGCTATATATAGTCACAAGGCTCGAAAGGTCGTCATTATTTTGAAGTTCATTTATTTTATTCAGATATACTGAGAAGTTGAGGTTGAACTTCATTTGGAACAAGATAGCTAATCATCTACAAAACTAGGTACGATAAATTATTCATTGGAATATCAGTTGTAAAATTGATCAACTGTGGTTCATTGGTCTCGTGAAAATTTATTGATGTGAATATCGATATCAGTCGTTATATATACCCGGCTAATAAGCCTACTATTATTTGATTTCAATATTTATTCAATATATTTAGAATTTTACCAAACTTTAATATTATGAGGTATTTACGAGGAAACCGTAAAGTATACACGAAGACAGTACAGCGGAACCGAACCGAAGCGCAGCGAAATCGATGCCACCGTGTGCTGTCTGAGTGCAGATTTTTGGGTATCCTCGTATTAATATTTTTATTATACATCTTTTCCTCCCAAGGATACAATATGGGAATGCCGAAACACACAAAAAAAGATTGAGCGAACTTCTTTGTATGGAGTCCGGTCAAACTCTGGGGGCTACCATGTTTTTGTTTTTTTTTATCATTATTAGAGAACGCTTACGCGCATAATCGTTCTATATTTGGAATTTGCATTTCCTTATATGGTATGATGAAAATACCGAGTGCAATACCGCAAAATTACCACACGCTGTAACTTATGGCGTTACGGTGACAGACTTATAATAATGTAGTTAATGTAAAATCATAATCAATAAAATATATATATTATATAAACGATGAGGCACATTCAGATATATCAATAAGCAAACCAAGTGGAAATAATCGTAGACTCGACTGTAGATCATTGAACAAAAGTCACGTAGGGTAAATACAAGTACATGATTATCGTGCACGATGCAAACAGTTGAATAATAATAATAATACATGGGCCCTGACGCATACAACTAACTATATAGATAACCTACCCCCAAAGCCACCTCATCGATGCTTGCATTTAGTGCTAACGCCATGGACCACACTGCGTCATATCCCAAGCCATGCCACATGTGAGGTATTACCCATTTGTACTCTGGTCGTGAGGACAGAATATTTAAATACCGCTCTTCGTACTCAGCATATGTCTGTTGATGTATAACCAAAGGCGTTACGATGCAAATGAATCGTGGTTGTACATGGTGTTGTTACTATCCAACATTCCCTTCAAAGACCCGATTGGGATGTTCAAGTCAATACTTTTTGTCCAAAAAGAGTCCTCGTACTCGGCTGATTTGTAATAGACTGTTCAAACTAAACACAATTATATATTTGGCGTCTTATACTTTTGAAGGCGTCCAGTTTTTGCACATGTGTACCGAAAGAGTGACCATGTCCCATGGAATGTACTATACAAATTCTGAATCCTACAAGTGCACGACTGCATGAAAGCTGACCTATTGAAAGTAGGGATTGTTGTTTCCACGAAACCCATATTTAATATTCAAATCTTAGCGAGGTATATTCGTGAGCTGTGTAATGATTAAAGTCTTAGGGCAATGCATGAGAACAAAACGAGATTTAACTTGATCTTAGTTGAGACCACGAGCCTGGTACGGCAACGGGTTATTTATTGTATACGAAGTCCGGAAATTAAGCGTTCTGACTTATAAATTTAAAGAATAGTTGATCAATTCTTATGTTAGAATAGAAGGTGAAATACCATTGCACGTACGTACATACATCAAAGGTCACATACAAATAGTTTACCTCTCCATTAATATTAGTAACATTGTCTGGGCCCTTGGAGTCCTGTACAGTTTCTATGACACTCTCTAATACTTTCTTCATTTCATCCAACGTACAGTTGATATGCGAATCTTCGGTTTTCCACCAATCGTCCGAGTACCAGCCAGGTATCAACCAGGCGTAGGTGGCGCCATACATGCCTTGTCTATATGCCTGCGTCATAAGAAATAAACACTCATCGGGTCTCGATAACAACATTTCCAGACCATAATTAGATTATCTATATTTAATTACTGGTCATGCCGTCATGATTGTATGTTCAATAACAATGGGAGTATGTATATTTAGAATCCGATGTAATTACGATTTTTTTCTGATCGATATGCACATTGAAATTAGGATCATTGTTTGAATTCATCAGCATAGATGCACGGTTTGGTTTGTCTATATTCACGTCAATACTTACTTCGCAGAATAATGCCCTAGCATGATCCTCATAGGAATGGACCACAATAATCCGTGCATCTTCTTCCTGTTTTACAAAGAGGAATAAATAATATGGATCAGCACGTCCTATATTCAATATGTATAACAAAGTCGACTGTGTGGTTGTGCAGAACAAGTAGTTAAGGTATTGAACGCAGCAAACTTGTTGTTTAATTAGCGACTACAGTATGTAATGACTCACACGAGCTTCTGCAAACTGATGAAAGATGTGGTAAAAAAATATATCGATGCAAAAGAACATAGTTTGTCATAACGTAATTTTAACAATTCTTGCAATATACATTTCACTATCTTCACAAATCGCGCCCTCTGGTGGCGGCGCGCTTCTTTGGCGTAAACTGGTGACACGTTCAAATCTCCTGAAGATCATGTTTTTAAGAGATTTTATTATATTCTGGGTGACGAACAACTACATAACCAATCGCAGTTGTCGGTTAAAAAGACATTGCTTTCATTAATATGTAGGATTTTGACGTCACAGTAGCGCTCAGTCACCAGAGGGCGCAACTAACGGGAAAAGTTTATAGTGACGTCAAGATGAAGGTAAAATGGGAATGAAAGATAAGTGTTTGTTTTTGGTAAATGTACAAGCCTTACATCTACATGCACTGAAAGAACGTTTGATCATACACGATGAAAGAGTTTAGTTTAGATGAATATCGCGACCTTTGCGGTCCCAAGTAATACCTTAATCTTGCGAAGTGCGGCAACAGGTGCTAGTACTATTGATTGTGATGTTACCAGTTGCACATCATTGTCAGCCAACTTGGCAATGAGGTCGCCATTGACCTTGAAATATGGAACAAGAAACCGAAGTCAAATGAAAACTGGTGAAGAAGTAAAAGGTGTTGAGGCGAGAGTTCACAAGCAGTCACAGACTCATACATGCTTTATTGTTGATCACGTGGTATGTGCCAAGTAGAAGTTCATTCAACGCCTTCCACTTGCGCAATATTCTGACAGCACGTGTCATTTGTTCTGTGGCGGCCTGTGAACCGACGGCGGACAGTTTAAACTGATTGCAATTACCTTAAGAATGTCCAGATCTGCGCTTGGATGATAATTAAATGACAATGATGCTAACAAATTAATATCATTTTCTCTCATTTTTACAATCATGTCATCAATAACCTTAAAAAAAGAAAGTTTCAGTAGTACACATTAACTGTCCATATCCATATGTCGCGTACACAGGTTGTAAGGATACAAGAACTCGTGCATTATATCTTGTTTGTAACTGATCAGGCAATTAGTATAAGTAACACCACGAAACAGACAGGGCGTACCCAGAAACGATTCCAGATGTACCGGGTATTACCTACTTATAAACTGGCTGATTCAATTTAATTTAAGGAGCGGTAATCGTCGTGCCACGCATGCGTGTAATATGGGTCTCATATAAACAAAGATGGCGACCTTAACTCGTTGTGTCGTCACCGGAAGCGCTGTCCCAGCACAAACCTGTGTCATATGACGCCTTACTAGCCGATTTTGGCTAAAATTCCGCTCCGCCGCCTCTCTACAACAGTGTTTATACGCGGAACTTGATATTGATTTTTACAATTTGAGTTGCCTATGAATCACATATTTTAGTGAAATATTGTTTATAGAGTGAAATATTAGTTTGCGACTTCACAGCTTGAAATAACCCTAACTTCTCAGCAACAACACCGAATCATGACCAGTAACATCATGGCGTCTCTCTTATTACTGCAGAAAATCACTAGTTTTGCCGCTGTCGCTGATTGGCTACTCAAGCTGTCAATCACGGTATAAATCTAATTATACAGCACACACGAGACAAAACTAAGCATTTGCACGAGGTGAATCTAACGACGGACAGTAAGTAGCTATTGTATGATTTTGCCTATCGGGAATTCTCCATTATTAGCATATGGACAAATGTTGCATGCTCATAAAAATGCCTCACTTTTTTCGAATCACCTGACAAGGTTTCTTAGCTGTTCAATATTACTTTTCGTTTAATGATTTGACCATGGATTGCATTGCGTACCAGTATATTGATTCGTATCAATATTGTTTATATTTCTAGACTTTTGCTCAACACATTATTATTGAGAATTGAGATGGGGGATTATTTCAATTACATATCATCTTTGGCATGAGGTGTTTCAATTCCTTCTACATGAACATATCCTCGGGGGCGGAGCTACGTCACAAGACGGACGTTCCACGTTGCTTAGACGCGCACCACAGTACATGCATTTCTATGGCTCTGTTCGCGCCCCGGGGGGTCACTCTAAATTAAAACCTTACACCATGTGCGTTCTTGCTAAAAAAAAAATAATAGTCCCCTAGGGCTGGCAGTACATTGACAAACCATACCCCTTATTTCGGGCACACTGTAAATGTAGTACCCCCTAAAGCAGATATATTGAAGAAAAATAACACCCCCTATTCCAGACGTATATTGAGAACATCCTACTCCTATTGCGAGCATTCTTTGCAGTTTTTTCACTCAAGGGTGGCCTAGGGTGGTGTATGGGAGTGGTTGTTGCAAGAGAGGACCTACAGCGGGCGCAGCAACCATGTGAGTTTATTCCAGGAGGCCTATTGCAGCCATTAGAATGTTAAAGGGGGCCTATTTGCCTCCCGCGCGGGCCCGCTTTAGAAGGTGAAAAACACCCCCTTTCCCCGCTAAATTTGGAACGCACATGGGGTAGTAACGGCATATAGAGTGATCCCCCCGGGTGTTCGCGCTGCTGTGGAACGCCGGTCGAGCCGGTGAAAATTCGAGAAAACAACACAAACTCAACTTTAAAAGTAATCCTGAACAACCAAATTTATATATGTTACACACGTAGGGCTAATCTTGTTACACTGTCAGGCGAGTCTCAACAACCATCCCAAAGTACCGTTTTCTGCGAGTTGTTGGTCTTTGTTTTCACCGCGAGGATTGCCAGGCGGTGAAAATACTCGGATTTCCGCCCCCGAGGATACATTGTGCAAATGATCTAAACAAAAACGTAAACACAGGCACACCGGCATGCTGCGAAATAAAATGTATGATTTAAAAGTACATAGAACCGGCACTAATTTAGTCACGTGGCAGAGTTTGTGATTTGCTAAGCGCCAGTCACGTAATTGAATCATACACACACGGCGTACATATTGAAATTAATAACTTGTGCACTTTACCATGACAAAAAACTTCTCGTTTTGGTACAGCGTCGCCACTCGTTTCCATCCAAAGTGTTTCAGTATGGCTATACGCCCAATGTTTTGTGCCAAATCGGATTGCTGCGTTCGGAGGAACAGTGGGTATTCTGATTTATTGGAAAGTTGGGGTGATGCCGCGGAGTATGAAACCTAGAAATTAATATTAAAAAACAGTATAAATAAATTGCTATTGGTGCCCATAAATCTGACATCCATTTCCATATAGTTTTTTTTTTATATATAGTACACCCGCTTAACTATTCAAATAATTTCCTAACCTGTATTAAATTGAAGAGATGTGAGAATGCGGCAATCTGAGCAGTAGCAACTGAGCATCCCCCTCCAAGCACCATTATTTTCTGTTGTCCATTGAACACGTGTTCACATAGCAGATAACTCGCCCAGCCTGGGTTGCACTGTGGGAAAAATCATATACAAGATTATCCTATACGAGGTATATTACAATATATGGCATTCCATATTTGGGCATCG